ACATGTTCCAAAGCTTCTCTGTTTATGGGTGAGCAGTTAAAAGATGCAATAGCCTACAGATACCTCTAATAGGAAAAGGTGGAGGTTAGAGTCTCTTCCCCCAACAGCAAACCTGATCAAGGTTGCTCCAGGGATAACAGCAAGGTTGGAACAGGTATCGGTGCCATGCCACCCAGCTGATCCTGGGGCTCTGCAGACCTTGTAGTCCACGGACCACACCTGGCTCACCTGTGGTGCAAATATTTCAAGTAAAGAAGGCTTCTTTGGGGTGAGAGTCAGGGCTGTCTCTGAGTCATCACGCCTGAGCCCGACTTCTGAATGCCCATGAAATTTCACCACAAAGTTATGAAGGGTTTACAAGTGCAGGACAAGCTCAGCATAACCCTCTAGCATCACTCACAAAACATTTTTACTAGATTTTAAGTGTGTGCTCAGATCAAGCTAGAGTGGGCTGCGGAATCAATTCTACACAGCTGTGTCACCACGCTTTCTTTAAAGGAGTTGCTCAAGTCATGATGTTATGGGAGGATATTTTTAGCCAGTGCAGGGGTTTAACTCACTGCTGCACGGAGCCGCCTTCTTCTGTTTCCGTTGCCAAGGAAATCCTTTACACCTGGCTTTTGCTAGGGTTTATATTTCTCCACTGGCTTCGTATTCTGTTCACCAACCACAAGGTGGCACTGTGGTGGAGCTGCAGCATAGCGGAACTGGGACTTTTCACAAGGCTTGTGCCCCAGTTTGTAACAATTTAAAATTTAAAACCAATTTTTCTTCATTCTAAAAACAAACCAAAGCACAAACAAAAAAAGAAAGGCTGGAAAACTCAGCAGAGGTTCTAGAGGAAAAACAAAAGGAAGATATAACTGGAAGAGACTTCTCGCCCAGTGATCCAGGACAGTTGCATCAACTGGTAAATCTCTGTTAACTGCAGTGGAACAGCAAGAAATTCCCCTTGCTAGTAGTTCAGCAATAGCAAAGCCAAAAGTTCTTTCCCGCTCCTTAAATTAAGGTGCAGAAATCAAGAAAGCTTAGAGGGAAGTAAAAGTAGGTTTGTACATGAAATGATCCAGGTGCAAGCTGCCATTCTGGTACTGAAGCTAAATTCCAGGGCTAAGCTTTTGCTCAGGGGCACTTGAGTCTGCCGCCTTTGGCTGTTCTTTTGCACCTTTAAAACAAGGTCAATCTGCACCAGCTAGGTCTGGGCAGTTTACAGCCATTCAAAACACAGATCTCATAATAGAAATAGAATACATATATAATTATAAAATATGAATAAAATAAAATACAGCGTAAAATTCTGATGCACAGAATATAGAACAGTTGAAAGGGCTAAAAATAGTCAAATAAAAACTAGACCTGTTAAAAACAGCTGATACATTCTACTATTATATGCCATTAAATGCATGAAAATAGAGGGCAGTCTTATCCTGGTGCTGAAAAGATGCCAGGCGGGCCTTAGTGGGGAGATCATTCCAGAATCGGGGCCACCACTGGAAGACCATTTTCCTTGTTGGCTTGGCGGCTGTTATGTCAGATGGGCTCCTCAGCCATTGTAGCGTTTCTTCTCAGCTTTATCAGAACTATCCACGGTGCTCCTTGCTGGGGAGCCTACTCTGGGGGTTGAGGTCAACACCATGGCTAGTTTGTATAAAGCTCAAAAGAAAAGCTGCAATGGGTAAGGAGCCCCACCGGCATCGGAGTCACCAGCCTCCCCAGACTAAAGTACAACATAGAAACAAATGCATTCAATACACTAACAAAATATGGCAATAAAAGAAGTAAAGAGCACCAAACCCTTTAAAAACCCACTTTTCTGCCAACAGCCAGCCTAAATGAAAATAGCGTTCCCTTCCAGCAGAAGGATGACGGAGGACAGCCAGCTTACCTCCCTGGACTAGCATGAATTTATTTTATCACTCCTGCAATCAGATGCAAAAAAAGTCTTAATAAATAAAATAATAAATAAAAATTATTTTATCACTCCTGCAATCAGATGCACGGTTCAACTGGGGGGAACAAGGGGTGCAGATATAAATGCAATGTCGAAATAAGCATCGCAACAATGTCTGCAGATGTCAGCCCCTCCCACTGCATCTGCATGGCTGAGTGGGGGTCCTAACCTACTCTCTGCACTCTTGGTGCAACCGTGCCTTCCCATAATGCCACAGTAGCCTAGACTCCCAGCAGGGGCACCTGGAAGACATGGGTCGGTCTCGCCTGTGCCAACCCCAAGCGGTCCATGCACATCTCCCCCCATAGCAGCTCACCCATGCACAGCACACCCCACCTGAGGTTCCTCAGAGGTCTGCTCACCCTCCAAGTGGTGGCTACCAAGGAGGGAGCCAAGTCATAGAAAGCTCTGCCTGGGCCGTCTTGACTTGCACCCGCTTCCCCATCATTTTAGCACCAAGCAAATCCCCGTTTATTTTCCCGGGCGTTTTTTTTTTAAACATATGTCAACATTTTAAGCTCTTACATTCTTTTAAGCTGCTGTGGTTTTTATTTCTTAACTGAGTGGAGTAGAATGCCGCCCTGTGCCTTTCGTTTTAGAAGCTTTATGATGTTTCTGGTTTGGGTCAGTTTGTTTTTAAACTTTCTCGTAAGCCGCCCTGGAAATGCTGAGGAGAGGCTGCTTTGGGAGGCAGATGCTGGATGGATGCAGTGTTGTCTTACGGCTTACCCAGACCCCAGGCAGGATAGCTGGCTCCCATGACCAGTACGGACACCAGTTTCCAGAGCTGTTCCAGTCTCCTTTTGTACAGGAAGTGATGGGACAGCATCTTCTTGACCTCCGCAGCAAAACATCTTGGGTACCAGCCCATACAATAGTTGGCTGTTGTAGGGAGCACTGCCAGCTAATTTTCTGCAGTCTAATTTAGCTTGGTTGCAGCCGCTCAGCCCAGCTCTGGCTCACGGTCCTAGCAGCCTCTCTCTGTTCTTCATGCCAGCAACCCTTTCTGTGCCTTTCCGCTTAAGCATGGCGCTTGCAGCCGGAGCTCAGCCGGCACAGCCAGCCTTCCCGCTTTGCACAAAAGTAAAATACCATATTTGGCCAATCTGAGCCAAGGCAGAGAAAGACCTTGCCAAGGCACAAAGCAAACCATTGAAAAAAGCAAAAGCGTTTAACCCTTCGTGTATAAATAAGGCGACAAATCATTCGGAGGAAGTTTAAACACAGAGCTTTTTGGAAAATGAAAGGAGGGGATCATCCCCAGACAGCAGGAGTTGGGAAGGAATGATAAAAGAGTTCCCCGGTGGAGGAGCAGAGGAACAAGAAAGCTGAAACTTCCACACAGATGTGTTTATTTGCAGTCACAGCCTGGTATTTTGGGGGTCTTTCAATCTTCACTCCAGGACCACACAGATCCTGCCTCTCTGTCTCTTCCCTCATTTTCTTTTTCCTTCCAGGCTCCTGAAAAAGGTAAGAGAGGCATTATTCCTAGTCGCTCTACTGCTGAACTACAGAAGTCCAGCTGGGAAAGGACATGTGTGCCTATCTGAAATCCATCCCTGGTGGCCTGAGGGGGGGGTAGGGAAGGGGGGGTTCACACTTGGAAATTTTACCAGCATTGCAATGCCTGTCCCACTGACATGTCACAGGAAACACACCCCAAACTTCTCCTGGTGCTATTTTCTACCATTATACCCAAACCGGCTTCAGAGCACTTATCACAACTTCTTTCTATCTCTCAGTGTGTGCTAAACTTGTGGGGCTGTCGTGTGTGGGGCGAGGCATGATTTTGGTGTGATGGGGCTTCTCTGAAGGACAAGCCGATCAGTCTTTAGCTGCTTTCCTGACTCCCTTTCCCTGCCTCCCTCTAACTTGGCCAGTAAGATAGGTTCCCGTGCTTCCCCTTCTCTTCCCAAAACAAAGCTTGCAATGTCTTTCCAACCCTTCTGATCAGCCCTCCTCTGCCCTCTCGCCCCAAGCAATAACGAGCCGAAATGTATGTCTGCTCAGAAGCAAATCACATTTTCTGCAATGGCCTGGCTCAGAAGCGGAGCCCATTCACTTCAACGGAACTTACTTGAGTGGCTGCACTTGCTTGCTTTCAGGTGGGGATGCTGGTTCTGCTGGGGGTGCAGAAGTCCCCAAATGGCCACCATGATAAGACTGTAGCACAGATGGTAAGGAAATGCTGAGCTCTTTAAAAAGAAGGGAAGAATTGTTATGGTTTGTTTGGCATTTAGTCTAAATCAGAGGAGCCCAATGGAAGCTGCCATTAGTAAGACATGAAATCATTTCAGGCCACTAATGTGAAAACCCAGTTAGAGGGGAAAGGCCCATTAAGTTCCGTTGCATTCAGTGGGAGTTACTCCTGAGTAGACGTGAGTTATGATTACACTTTCAGAGTTTTAAAGTTGTTCTGTGTGTGCTGCTCCATTACACTTTTAATGTTTTTGTGAGCCACTTGGAGTTATAAACAAAAAGATCAGATATAAAGGCTAATTCAAACAAACCCAGTGTTAAAATGAGAGAACAAACAGGAGGGAGGGTATTTTGGGCAAATGCTCTTTTCTCCCCTTTAAGTTCTTCATCAAAAATAATTTGCCATGATCCCAAAGGGAGCACTGTGGAATTCTGCATAGAAAATTCCCGGCTAGATTGGGAACACTGCATGGATATCTTCCTGCATTCAAAATTCACTGTGCAAATTGACCCAACAGAGCTATTAGCAAATTCAAAATTCACTGTGCATTGAAACAAGCACAGCCAGCTCGTCTGGACCAACTCTGCCAAAAAGCCCACCCTGCTGGCTCTTTCGGGTGCTTTTCTTTCTGAAGGAAAAGCAGCAGTATCCTGAGGAAGTGCAAAGAGCATTTGCTTCACCACGGAGAGATCAGATATCTCTACAGATAAAGGCCGGACCAAGAAGGCTTTGAACCCTGTCACTGTCATTTAAGAAGAAACGATGCCCCCCAAAGCCTATTCTGGCATTCCAATTCTGTGCAATGCGACACACGCCGAATGCTAAACCTGGCTTGCTTGTATCTTGCAGGTTCCAGGACAAGGCACTACCATGGGGTCATCCAACCATTCCTCGGTGCAGCCGAACGACACTGACCTGTTTAACAAATTTGTCCACCTGGATAAAGAACTGTCTGACACTTTTTACACGCTGTGGATTGCACTGGTGGTGGTCAACGCTGTCATTTTCCTGGTGGGGGTGGTCTTGAACTCGCTGGCCCTCTATGTCTTCTGCTTCCGCACCAAGACCAAGACCACATCGGTCATCTACACCATCAATCTGATCATCACGGACCTGCTGGTGGGCTTCTCCTGGCCGATCCGGACCCTCATGCACTACAGCGCCAGGGACTGCAAGAGCTGCGCACTCATCCACATCTTCACCTACTTTGTCAATCTGTACTGCAGCATCCTGTTCCTCACCTGCATCTGCATAGACCGGTACCTGGCCATTGTGCAGGTGGAAGCCTCCCGCCGATGGAGGAACCCCAACTACGCCAAGGGCATCTGCATCTTCATCTGGGTCTTTGCCACGGCGGTCACCTTCTCCATCCTCACCATGGCCATGAAGTTCTCCTACTGCTGCATTGCCCAGATCTTGCCCCTGATGGTCTGTGAGTACTTCTTCCCCCTCATCATCATCACCTTCTTCACCACCAGGATCATGTGCGCCCTCTCCAAGCCGACCCTCATGCACCAGAGCCGGGAGAGGCGGATGCGGGCGGTGCAGCTCCTCATCACGGTCCTCATCATCTTCATGATTTGCTTCACGCCCTTCCACGTACGCCAGCTGGCCATCTCCATCAACCCAGGCATGCCCTACAACATCAGCTTGGTTTTCTACCACGTGACAGTCACCCTAAGCAGCCTCAACAGTTGCATGGACCCAATTGTCTACTGCTTTGTGACCAACAACTTCCAGTCGACCATGAAGAACATCTTCAGGAAGACTGAACCCGAGCAAACCAGTGGGGACATCATCAGTGTCAACAAGGGATCGGGTTCAAATGCAATTATAGCCTTTACCAATGCTATAGGGACTCCACTGGGCCTGCCTTCACCAAACAGTACAGCAAACTCCTAGAGGCAGGGAGTTCCCGATGGAGGCTGCTGTAAATGTTGATGGGATATGAGGTACTATCCTCTTTTCTAAGGGTACTTTAGAACATTACACTGACCTTCAGAACTCCTTGTGTTCTCCAGGGATACTGTCCCTTTGTGTATGGCAGCTGGTTTACTCATCTGGGAAATGATCTCATGAACTTTCCACTCATGCTCAAATTCTGGGATTGTGTCCCAGGATGCATTCCGCAACCTGACCCTGTACCAGCTTCGCCAACCTGAGAATGTTGGAGAAAAGAACAGATGCCACGACATATTTTGACATGTCTATCATCATCTAGGGGTCTGGAAACAAAGAACAGTGTTGTTTTGAGAAAGAAATCCCTCAGATGTCTATGCTACAGATTGTTATAAATATGACAAAGACCTGTGTTTGCAGAGGAGGATAAATAGTTGTGGAATGCTAGGGTGGCAATTTTAAAAGACAACATGCCCAACCCAAAGAATAGGTGGAATAATGAACAAGAGATCCAAAAGCATAATTAACTGTATTTTAGAACTGTGACAGGAAAGAAAATGTATTTCTGAAAAAATTGTGAGTTTTGGAATGAGCAGCCCAGGGTAACTTAGGGTCAAATTGCGAGTTAGATGTAGTAGGGGGAGTCCTGATGGACCTACTTCTGTGCTAAATAGCAACAGCAAGAAGGGCGATTACCAGAGAAGAAGCAATGAAATGCTTAACCTTGACTCTACCTACTGCTCTTCAGCTTCAACTTCCATCTTCATCTATTTTTTCCCTTCCGGGATCCATGTCTTCCTAAGGGTCAGAAAACATCTGTGTGGAGATAAGCTGCAACAGGAAGGTAGCAAGCAGGGAAATTATTACGCATCCCCATTGCAGGCTATTGAATTTTCTGACATGAGATTGACTGGGTTCAGACAACACAATAACCTAGACTCAAGAACTGAGTGTAGACTGAGTGTGCATTTTCATTAAACCATGGGTTGCTTTTAAAATATGAGTTATCATTTGTCTGCACCCAGTCAAGATAAACCATGGTAAACAACCCACACTACCCAACAACAAACCATGGATTCTCTTCATGGGTTGTTCATAGCTTTAGCACTGCTGGGTTCAGACAGCACAATAGCCCCCATTTCAGCAACAATCTACATTCAACTCATACTCAGCCCTCGAGGGTGAGTTATCATGTGGTCTGAACTCAGTCGCTATGTGTAATGTGTAGTTTGGCCGTGCACCAGAAGTCCATTTATTACTCTGGCTAACACAAGTGTTTTCTTTGTTTTTAATACAGGTCATTCAGTAGTAGCATAAACCTCACGACTGTGATTTTTTTGTACTGTATCCAAGTGTATTGTCACTCTCCAAATTTCATTCACAGAGCAAATACCTGCAATGCTTAAGTTACAATAGGGATGAGCCACTGTTAGGTTTACACACAAACAGTGGAGGGTTCTCATAAAAACAGGTTCTTCTGGCAGCAAGGAGACGATCCTAACAGTTTTTTGCCTTCGCACTCCAAGTAGAAAATGGTGAATGGAGAAAATGGTTCTGGTGAATGGAGAATTTTCTCCAATGGTGAATGGAGAAAATATCCAACGAAATGCAGAATCCCAGAAAAGTCCCTACACGAGCAAGGCATAAATGCAGCCACTGGGAGAAACTCGGGGAAATGTGCAGGCATTGTTTTAGTTAATTTAGTTAGTTTTAGTTTAGTTTAGGCCAGATAATTAGAAATGTGGGTGCAAGAGCTGGAAATATTTGTAGCATTATGCTCCATCCGGTATAATTTAAGGTGCAAAATTACATTGCTCTTCTTTCTGAGCTCTTGCAAAGTTGCTGCAATTCCCAGTTTACAGACTGGGGGAACTTGAGGTTAAGAGAATGTAACATGTTCAAATTATACAGTGAGGCCAAACCAGAGCATGAACTCAAATCAGCCTCAGGAAGTCCTATCTACTAGACCAAAGATACATTTGAACATAAGTCAAGGAAGGATTTAGAAGCCAGTCTGTATATTCGTAACAGTCATCCTTCCTAGGAAACATTCTGGGGAAAGACAGATTTTATTCACATTTCTAAAGGCTAGAAAACACAAATAAAGATTCGGATCTTACGCAAAAGATGCCAGCCACCTTCCTTAACATCACCAGACATGCCAACCCAATCTAGTTCTCAAGCAACGTATTCAAGGAACATATTAAATATATTCATTAACCAAACAGCTTTATCCTCTGGAGGGAGAAGAAGGTTTTTGCCATGTGAAATATGTAAGGGAAGGTTGGCCATTTGTTTTCTCATGTCTGCCATGCTTTGGGAAACGACAAAAGAATTTTTTCCAGTGGAATCATACTGCCCTCTTTAGCCTTTTGCTGTCCTTCTATTTCTCATCCTCTGAGATAATTTCAGAAGTCGTCTGTAGCGTTTGGTGCTTTAGGCCCTTCCCACATGCATAACTTGTCATTTTGAGACACATTCCGTGAGTGATGAGCAAACAGGGACTATAAACAAGAACTGGAAGGTCCTTCCTGTAACTTGAACCAGTTGGAAGCGTTCCGACCTTCTGGGGCTGCAGTTCACACGAGCAAATTCACACAGATGGAGTGCACTTCCCACACTTCCCTGGGCAGAATTACATGGATGTTTTATTTTTCAAGTAACTTTGGGCAGCACGGAGCTGCACAACTCAAGTCCAGATAGAAATGTAAACGTTTTACAACTCCATATGGAGGCTGTGTTTTGGACTTCGTCGTTCCTAATGGATACTTTGCTCAATCTCAGTAAAAGCAGTTTTACCGGCAGTTTGAGAGCTGGTAAAAAATTGTGTTTTCATTTCGATTTTCATACCAAATGTTGTAATAGAAGATGTCAAATTTCCCCTAAAACCTGATTAGTGCAACTATTGAGTCTTTCATATCATTATTTCCCCATCTACTGATATTGAATTCATAGCTCACCCTAAGTATCTCTTTTTGCCCCTTCCTAAATCAGTCCTGCTGATTTCCCGACCAGATGACCATCCCAGCAAAGCAAAGATCATGCAGTGAATGGGATGACAACACAGCGCTGATATCACACCAGATCTGGGCATGTGATGATGTCATGGAGAGTGCATTAAGTCAATTAAGAGTGAGGGCAATCCTTCCTTGGTTCATCACTGGCAGAACTCCAGTCAATCAGGGATCATGTAACAATAACACGGGGATGAAGGAATGACTTTGTAGCCCATCAGAATTGTCTTTGTGATGATATCACAATTGAAGACAATAATTTGAGATCAGAGAGGGAAGGAAAGCAGTTGAAGTAAAAATATATTTTGCAAGCAGCATTCAAACTTGTTTTAAAAGTGAGCAGGTTTAGCTCAGCAAAAGTAGAAAAACTTTTTTTAATCATGTCAGGTTATCATTCACTGTTTCACTGGTTCTGTGTGATCACAAAGAACCCACAGTCTCTGTCTCTCTCATTTACACCAGCCTTTTTCTGCATGCTTGAAGAAGTATCTAGGAGACCTTTGCTTACCTGTAGGTAGCCCTTACTCTCTGCCCAGCTGATAGAACCAGTGAAATGTTTGCAGGCTCCTGGACCACATGGCAACGAACCTGACTGTGTCAGGCCATCAGCCCATGTCACTCAGTATTCCCTGCACTGGTCGGCAGAGGCCCTCCTGGTCTTTCCCACTCCTACCTGGAGATGCCAAATATAATAGTATCACTCCTCTTTGGGATGATAATCAGCACGCAACAGGAGTTATAAGGTAGCATAGTGTAGTGGTTAGAGTGTTGGGCTGCAACTTGGGATACAGGGGTTTGCTTCCGCTCATCTACAACACTCACTGGGTGACTCACCCAGGCCTACCTCGCAGGGCTGTTGTGAGGCTGTCCAGGAAGATGGGACCCCCCCCCAAAAAATAGGTCATTGAGAGTTAATATGATAAATGAGGTGATTATTTATCAGAGTCCCCGGGACTCAAATGATTCAAAATCAAGATGCGTCCATATTCAACAAAGCTGCCTTTCAGCCACCTGCCCTCCAGTGCAAATCTGAAAACTCTGGGTTCCCTTGATAAAGAACCATTCATGCTTCAAACAGGGTGGATTATAAGAAGTGTTTGTCTGCTTATATTTCAAAATTTATAGGCTGCTGAATAACCCAGCAGGGTGCTCTCAGTTCTCTCACTGTCTTTGCATTTGTGGTGTGCAATTCATCCGTCGGCTTCAGCACGGTGACTTTCCTCTCCAATCCTCCGCTCCCCATCTGGCACGTGTGCTCTCCCCCTGACTGCAAGGGGAGGAGACCTTTGTGACCTCTCTGGCGTGACCGTCGTCCTCAGGACGGCAGGAGCTGTCCCTCTCCCCACACCACCGAGCCAGCGGCTGCACCTTGCCCTGCCGTGACACCCATCTCAAAGGCAGGCGCACAGTCTAAGCCTCCACACCAGGCGATACAGAAGTCCTTGGCCGAGGCCGCTTCCTCTCAGTGTTTGTGCCAAGAATGGTCCTTGGATTGTGCATGGCAGGGGGTCCAACAGTCCACGAGCCCTTGCTCGGCCTGCTCTCCGTACACCTGAGAGGGCAAGGAACATGTCAGGGTGCTTTGGAGCAGATCAGCCGGGCCACCAAACAGTGGAAGGGATGATGATCCGACTTGGGGTTGAGGCTGGACAAAACCGGCTCCGTTTACCTGCCTCAAAAGAACCACTAGGCTTGGGCACACAAGGTCTGTGGGCAAGCAAAGCCTAGCAGAGGGGGCCAATACTTCACGGGCAATCCACTGCTGTCCAGACTTTCCCAGAATGCAGCTTTCTAAGGGACACAGGTGGGGAAATGATTCTTGCTGCACCCAGAAAAGGGAGGCCCTGTTGGCAGCTGCCACATTTCTCCAAAGGCCCCTCGGAAGAGAGGCACCTGGGAAATCTAAAATGGAGGCCACTGGCCAGCGCTGCATTGAACAGGTCCGAGAAATCCTGCCTCCAAGGGAGATCATGCTGCCTCTTCAAATTATGGAATGAGGTTGATCTCTTCCTTCCTTTACGGAATGAGGTTGATCTCTTCCTTCCTTTCACTGTCCTCCGCCACTCCAAATTCACACTGAACCAAAGTCGTATGTTGTATATTTGGACACAGAAGCATTGCATAGAAATCCTAATTAATTTACTTGATTAACTCACTATTGGCTAATGTCTGTGCTGCTAAAAACGCAGAAATGGGGGTGAGTCGAAAGGCTGGTGAGCTTAAAATAGAATCACAAAAGGAAGGATTCTCTTTCCGGCAGCTTGACTGAATAGTTGGAAGCACTGCGAATGGGAAGGGGACAGAGGGATCCATCTCCCATCAGGACATTTGGCAGGAGGAACACAAAGGTAAATATTAACCGTCAATGTTTAGCTTATTCTCCATTCATAGCAGGAAATTAAACAGCTAGGGGCTTCCAGAGAACTGCTTTTTTCATTGTCCTAACAAGAGGACTGCCTTGGCAATGGGCCAGTGGAAAAATGGAATATATTGAAGATTTAAAACAAAGGCCACCAAAAAGGAACGAACGTTATCTTTCCCAGGCCAGACTTCAAGCCTTGGGCTGGTTTGCCTCCTTAGAGCACAGTCCTATGGTGTCCCAACACCATCCGGAGGGCCAAAGGATTTTTCAGAGTCCAGCTCCTGGGGCCCCTACAGGGTCAGGCCTCTGCCCAGAGAGAGCTGTGCCGGGTCACAGGCGAGCCTTGGAAGGGGAGAAGAGAGGAGAGGGCGCTACGGCGCAGTGCTGTGCCAACTTCTTTGGGCAACCCGGCCTCCTTCCCCCGCATAGCGGCCGCAGTTCAGGGCTCTGGCGCACCTGCTCTGGGGTGACAGGAGGGGGGCACTGGCTGCTGAGCGAGTCCCTGCACCTTCATTCGCCACCTTCAAGGCATCTTGGCTGGCCCAAGATGCTTTGCGGCTGGAGGCCGACACCAAGATCCCTCTCCACCCCATCCAGAGAAAGCCGCCATACTGGCCACGGGCTGAACTTCACCAGAGGTCATGGAGCAACATTCTCCATGTCACCCCGAGGCCTGTCCTGCTGGTCTCCCTGCTCCAGGAGCAGCCCTTCTGTTTGCTCCTCGGAGCAGCCATCCAGCAAGAAGCAGGTCCTGTGCCATTTCTCCCCTCCTGCCGCCAATTCGACCACCCATCTCCCCACATTTCTTCTTCCCCTGAGAGTCCCCCTGCACCGATGAGCCCTGGGCAAGAAGGTTGGAGAGCTTTGTGTCCTGCACAGAGAAGCAGGAGGCCCAAACCTCACTGAGATCAGGCAGGCGGGAGGGAGATGCATGACAAGGGG